TGTCCCCAACACAAACTTCGAATCGGGCCTCATCACTCCATTGTATTGCATACCATTGTTGAGGTGTCCATTGTCTATGTTCTTTAGCCCATCTAAGCCGATTTTTCGATTGCAGTGGAGTTGATAGTGGCTTTTCTTTGGCCTATAAACAGGTTGTGCAACGTTTTTACTTCACTTTTTTTATAAGAAAACTTACCTTGCAAGTGCTAAATCCCAGTTTGTGGGCCTCTCTATGAGTTGTGGACCTCGAAATTCTCCTTCCAACAGCGTCACTTCACAGAGCACTTAATTGTAAATAATTGGCACGTCTGTTTTTCACGATTATTCTTCGGTCGGCATTTGTGATATTACTTTTTTCACATATCGTGGCTTAATATTAACTGAACCAGTTACGTTATATCTTCTAACAATATTTCTCACACTGTATCGCGATAAGTCTAACAAAGTTGCAATTTCTGTGTTTGATTTCCCAGAATTAAAAAATTTAAGTATCAGTAACCGAAGTTTCTCACTAATAACCTTTCCTCTACCCATTTTGAAAACCTTAACTACCCAAAACTATTTTAAACGTATTCTGACAGCTGTGATTAATAAAAACAATTGTCATGGCTTTTATTTTTCACACCCACCTATGCGTTATAGACTTATTTTGCATTGAAATGAAAATAGGTTGATATGCTGTAATTGCAACATGTGTTATTTTTATGCCGCAAATTTGATTAGGAAGTGAGTTTTCTATATATATTATCAAAGTATTCATTGTTAATATTTTAAACCTATAACACCCTGCTACATTTTTACTATTTGTTTGATAAGAAAAAACTAAGATTTCAATAGTTAGGCCAACTGAAGTGGGCACGGGCTCGTACGTTTAATTGCGGACCACTCTGCATTCTAATAAACTATGCTTATTTCAAAAAAGTATCAGATTGACCGATATATTCCCATCTTGTGCACAAATACGAAGTTACTCTGACCGTCTGTCGCTGCCTTCGTCTTTGTACTGCAAATTCAACGAAATTGCCAAGATCTGATGCGGTAACAAGTGACCGTGTAACCGAATCCTATCAACCAAGCCTTCGATAGCTCAGTTGGTAGAGCGGTGGACTGTAGTGGGATAACGATCGGTAGACATCCATAGGTCGCTGGTTCAAATCCGGCTCGAAGGAAACTTTTTTTTGTTTGTTCTATATTATACAATTTTGTAAATGGGTTAAAAATGATGTATTATACCTTTTTATATTACCTTTTATAGTACCTGGTATTAATGCATTATCATACATACATACATACATACATACCATCATAAAAAATTACAGATCGCTGAAATATTGTGTATACCTATATGACGTTTAGCAATGTGTATGTTTTCAATCTGGGACAGTTTCAGATAACTATTTTAAACGTAACATAGAAAATGTATGAAATGAAAATTGTATATTGATAATGTTATTAAGGCAGTTTGACAACAAATTTTATACATTGAAATATTTTTACCCATAAGTGTAGCTGATGTGTTTTTTATGAGTTCCTCAACAATCAAGATAATGATGAAAAATGTTAACAAAGGAAATATAATATATAAAAGCAACTATATAACGTTAAAGTATCTCCCCTTGAAAATGTACACGTGGACTAGTACCGGTTGCCTATTTGGCATTTATTTTATCGATCTTGTCATCTTGACAGCAGATAACTGGATACCTACGTCAAAGTATTTGTGAAATTAGAGTAACTTAAAGGATGATTCCATGAATAATACTGATAATTGATTGTTCTATAGGTACCTTTAGAATGAAACTTATCATTCTGAAAACATCGATGACATAAGTTGAATCAACAATTTAAATTTGTGGAACGAGAACAAGTGCCTTGTGACACATTTGTATGCATATATTCCAATTCAGGAGATCATGTCTTATTTTAGTAAATCCTCTGAAAACAATAAATCATAACAGACTGTGTAATTTACAATTTGACCTAATAAAACTGAAACTGAAAAGCCTTGAGACGATTCTTCGTCCCAGTGGACAATTGTCTTTATGTCACCTTCATCATAAATATCGGAGATTGTAGACTGGTCTCCAAAAGTAGGTACTTTGATGTAGAAACTTACAGTCGTTAAAAAAGGAAATTTTTGCAGTTCGTATGTTGCTGACATGTTCCCGGTCAACTGGGATGGAAATTGGATTTAAATAGAAGGAAACATCGTCATTTGTAAAAATTTCCATAAATACAGACTTAGCCCACATTTATTTTTGAAGATTTGGGAATGATTTAAATAATTAATTTGATATTCAGAGATTTTTTGAGGCGTGCTGAGCTTCCTCAACAAAATCTGTCACTAGAATGAGAAAACGTAGAACCACTATTTATAACGCAAAAGTAATGATCTTTCCTAGGAACTTTTGGATTCAAAACGAAAGTAGATAGGACTCAAAGTTGAAACACTAGGAATGAGTAGAAACTCGCGAGTTTTTATTTGTGCTTTTACAGAAAAATACGAATTTAATGCGAAATTATAACTGTCAAACTGGTGGCTTAAGCCTGATAGACTTGTAGTATCCACTTGTATCTTGACTACTAACTAGATAATTTTGGATCAAAATAAATTGCATGCTAGATCTATTTAGTATTAATTCGTTAATAAAACCCATAAATATTGATATAAAATATGATAGAGATAAGATGAGACAACTATAATATTTCCTACAAATTGTGAACAGTATGGCGATTCTACTGAAACCAAGAAATTCGATTAAATTAGAAGATATGTTTACATTCCATTTTTGACGCCAAAATCGTGTAATTTTAGTGTATATTTTTGATTCATTTGACTACCATTTATTGACAAACGTTGTAGCAACATGATAATAATAATACTTACTATTGGAAAGATCTACCTTCATTGGGCTTGAGCCGCAAATTATGCAAGAATTATCATGTTCCGAAATTGTCTAACACCACAATTATCTACGAACACTCGCACTTCAAAAAAATAACACTTACAATACGAATTTAATAACAGAAACTAACTTCTCCACTTGAAGTAGTCCCTTCATCCTGACTACAGACTGAGATTTCAAAGACAAACAAATCCTAGACTTGTTCGTTCTACCTAGATAATCTGAAATTACATTCCGTATGTCGTACTTTTGGGTGACAGTATACGTCGCAGCGCATATCTGCCCACGCTTCTCGGCGTCATTCCTACTTTTACCATCACTTCTCCCATTTATGACCGCCATACGCGAGAGCTTTTGCCTCGAAATACCTTATTAGGCTATTAATAACGAAGCGCTCATATACAAGCGATGTTTATAATCAATTTTTACGACACTTTGATAGTCGTGTATGTTTTGTCGTTTTTCGATATACAAATGTACAATGTGTAAATGTTTTCAAACTCTTTGCCAAAACGGATGGTGTGATGCATTTGGTTATATGTGATGGAAATTTTTCTTCGATTGACCAATATGTATTGAATTAAAAAACACTGTTTATGAGCTACAGAGTTATTTAATAATAAATGATAAAGAACAATATTCACAAACTCGGGGTGGTTTCTGTAGCCGTTTGTCTTTTTTGGGCAGTGTCAGGGCATTTGCCGATTTTTCAAACCTCCTTGAATCGTACAAGCTGTATCATTTTTATAGCGAGTATTAGAGAAAAATGTTCATCCCACCCCACGGCTTTCTGTGACCACAGAAGCGTCATGATGTCTAGGCAACACGTATATCTACAGAACGAGTGCACATCAAGTGAACAACAGCTAGTTCCAAGTTGACATCTTGTAGAAAAACCTACATATTGTCACAACTGTCTGTTGAATTCATTAATTTTAGTCAACAGATATTTACATTAACGTATTTGTAAAATGAGGTAGAAACGTAATGATCGTAATATAAAATCTAATATTTTGCGATACTTAAATCAAATTCAAGCGGATAACCAAATGGAAATGGTATTTACAATTTTGGGTTGGTATTTACCAATCCGTTCAAGTGAGTGTAGTTATCAGTTTGGTTATAAGATCCGTGACGTCACGAATCAGCTGTTATATGTCATAGCTATCACCGCAAAATTGTGGTATTTACCCAACTCAAGAGTAGTTTTATATTTCTGGTTATTATTTGAAATGTGACAAGTTAGAATTTTGCCGGGTATTGGATATTGTTATTGTACTTCAGCTTCATTTTTGAGAAAAATGATACAGGCTGACTTCAGTTTTACCATAAAGTGGAGCACCTTATACTCATTACGGTTGTTGGGGACACTTTAAATGTAGTTCCTATACTTAAAAAAGTATCTTGTGTAGCCATATACCACAAGAATATTAAAATATGGCCATGTAAACTCACTAGATGATATCCACCTGTATACGGTTTTGCTAATTTCTTTTTTCATCATTTCTGCTGAATCAATAAATGTTTTCTTTGACATGCGGAAGAATTTAGAAAATTGAAAGTTATCATAGATACAAAGCTATGGTTCCATCGTTAAAAAAAAATCTGAAAAAAACATTTCTCCCATGAATATTATGAAGGGTTTCTTATTTAAACTTTCCACATACAGTTGTAGACGAAAAAGCACCGATTATTAAATGATAATAAAAATAATCAGAGATTATATACGCACTTTTCTAAAATAAACAACTTGCAACAAAAACCGCGGTTAAAACCAACGTGTTCAAGCGATTCGTGTAACTGACGTCATCAACCCGTGTGTAATCTTGAACCATATTATAACCGCGGCACATAACACAGAAATTTTGGTTATTCGCTTGGATTTGATTTTAGTTTGAGTAGTGAGTCACCCGCTGTCTGTCACTAACTGACTTCAGTGTTATATGTTCTGTCAAGTGGGCCACAGAGCACATAACTTTAAAGACGTGACAGCTGCACGTTAAATGATGGCATGGCAATACCGTTGATGACCGTTTTCAAAGCACAGATTAATGATACTAATGGATCATAGTAAAAATAACTTTTTTGTTACAGATTCTAGGCCATGTCGGCCGACACGTCGAAAGATTTCAGTCTGATACAAGATGAAGATGTTCTCAAGAAAATGGTAAGGTATTAACAGTTTACAGGGTGTGGCGTGACAGAATCTAATAATGTAATAATAATGCATTTTCCTTGGACAAAGTTTGTATAAGAGTCGTCAATAGCGGGTGTTTCAAATTCTATCCATACCACTGGAATCTCGGAAACGGTAATAGATACGAAGCCGCTTGAATGGAGGCAAAGTTGCGTTTTTAGGTAGCTAACAAAATGCTGCTTAAAGTATTTTATGAGAGAGACGGAAAAAACGACTTTGTCGTGGGATATCAAAATAAGTTGCACGTTAACATTGCTACCTTTTCTCCTTTACAATATGGTATAATTGCAGTTTCAATATGACGATACGTCTCTCGTCCTCCAGCATCAAGTCTATATTTTCTTATGAACGCCATATTGGATTTTTGCACATATACTAAGTGACATATAAATCCGAACACCCAGTTTAAATGGTTTTATTTTAATAAAAGTTGGTGAATGTATTTATCTTACTGTAAATAACAAGTGAAAACATTTTCAGCCTTATCAGTTGGACATTCCAGTTTTTATACTGCTTGTTTTTAATTCACTAACGCTCTAAAAATGAATATTTCAGCCGCAGTAAAGAATCAACGTTGGCGGATTTTGGTTCTTGACATCCTTTACGATCGGTTACGATGCCTAGAGTACGGAGACCTGTACGATTTCGTCAACTTAGTGAGTTTGTTAGGGGCCGTATAGTGGGACTTCAGGAAGCTGGACTTTCTTTTCGGGCAATTGCAGTTAGAGTGCAAAGAAGTGTAGACACTGTGGTTAGGTGTTGTCAGGCATGGCTTCAAGAAGGCCGTAAGCAAAGAGGAAGGGGCACTGGACGCCGCCGTAGAACAACAGACCGTGAAGATCGCCGCCTAAGATTATTGGCCTTAAGGGACCGTTTCTCCACTACCAGGCCCATTGCAAATGAATGGTTTGCAGAACACGGAAGACCTATTGGCATGCGAAGTGTTTACCGACGAATGAGAAGTTTTGGCTTGTTTTCATACCGGCCACACTGGGTGCTCCCTTTAACTCGAGAACACCGACGTAATCGCCTTGAGTGGTGCAGACAACGGTCACTCTGGGATCAGGAATGGAACAGTATTGTCTTAAGTGACGAGTCTCGATTTTGTTTAGGCATGCACAATGGTCGTGCCAGGGTTAGAAGGCGACGTGGTGAAAGGAATCCACAGTTTTTTGTTGAAAGACATGTTCATCACACTGTTGGAGTTATGGTTTGGGGTGCTATAGCTTATGGTTCCAGGTCACCTTTAATCTTCATCAGAGGTAACATGAACGCGCAGCGTTATATCCACGAAGTTCTAGAACCCCATCTTTTACCCTATCTTGACACCCTGGCAGATCCAACTTTCCAACAAGATAATGCCCGACCACATGTTGCAAGAGTCACAATAGACTTCTTTCAACATAATGATGTCACATTGTTACCATGGCCACCAAGATCTCCCGACTTATCCCCAATTGAGCACGTGTGGGATATGATGGGTAGGAGAGTGCTCAATTTGCAACGTCCTCCTCAGACTCTAGAAGCACTTCGAGAGGAGTTGGTGGTTGCCTGGAAAGAGATACCACAGGAGGACATTGACCACCTGATCAGAAGCATGCCTAGGCGCGTTGGAGAATGCGTGGCACATCAGGGTGCATCCACACATTATTAAAAGTCAAAGGGCTTTAAAGCAGTGCAATCATTTTGAAATTTTTATCATTTACTTATTATGCTTCATTAAGTACTTATACAAAATTTTATTAAAATAAAACCATTCAAACTGGGTGTTCGGATTTATATGTCACTTAGTATATAAATATATGAATAGAGTTTTCAATTCTAATTCCAAAATTTTCATACATTGACATTGCCAAACCTTAGTTATTGAATAAAAACAGAATTAAATGGGCCTTGAAATTATCATATATTAATTTGTTTCGTATACCAGATCTATCGCAAAATATTTTGTTATTTTTCCTGACTTTACTTAAGACGGGAATTCAAAGTAAATTACATATTGGCACTGTCACTTTTTGTCCTATACAAGGTGGATTAGTCAAATTTGTAATTCGAAGTATCTTCTTTCGATTTCCATCGCCAACTTTGTTTTTTTTCGTAGGAACGCTATATTGGAATTTTGTACATTTCAATAGAGTGTTTGCTCCTAAACTCAGTGATGTAGTTCATTAGTTATTCATGAATTGGTTGTTGGAACGAAAACTAAAGGGTGTCCCAAAATTAACGCACGTTCTGAATTAAATAGGAAACACAGTTTTAAATTTTTAAATTGCTATTTTTTATTTAACCATAAAGTAATTAGGATATTGTTATGTATGGAATATTACATCGGACAAATGGCTCCACGGTTTTGCTGGCACATACGCACTCTTTAATGGCGGCTGAATTTCGTTGCTGCACCGTTTAATTTTATCTTGTAATGCACGGGTGGTTGTGCGCTTGCTGACATAGACCTTTGACTTTAAATAACCCCATAAGAAGAAATCTAATGGGGTTGAAGCGCACGATCTAGGGGACCCATTCTGATCACCAAAATGGGAAAGTACTCATGCAGTAATTGAATTGTTTCGTTGGATGTATGGCATGTGGAACCGTCTTGTTGAAACCACATATTGGACAGATCAATAGCATCCAACTTCGACAGAAAGAACTGAGTTATCATGATATTGAGCATCGGTAACAGTTATGGCAATTTTGGCAATTAACCAAGCCATCAAAGTGAAAATGTGCTTCATCGCTGAGGATGATTTTGCTTATAAAATTAGCAACCACTTGTTAATGTTCAATAATCCCTTTCACGGACTCTCTTCGCTGTTCATGGTCATTAGGATTCAGTTTTTGTGTTGATTGAACTTTGTAAGCATGGAGACGCAGTTCTTTTTTGGGTATACGCCGTAGAGAGCATCTTGAAATTTGTTATTCTTGTCCGCGACGCCGAATTGACGTTCCTAGGTTTTCACATACACTCTCATGCACTGCTTGGACATGGATATTTGAGCGGCTTGTTTTAGGGCGACCGGTGTGTTTAGCGTTTCCAACTGATCCTCACTGAATTTTTCAATTAATCTTTTAACAGTCGACGAGCCTAAAACACTATTCCGGCCATATTATGTATTAAATCTTGTTCAATAATGAAAGCTCGTTGTTGTATCGTATAACGCTCCATTTCTACTAACTCTTACCTCTCAGCTGTCAAATTTTTCTTTTTAGTGCTGCCTACAATTTCCTGCAAACATGGCGACAAATTCAAATCTTGCGTTAGTTATAAAGAATCAAAAATGTATAGTGAGACCTCAACACGATATGAAAATTTTATTGATGGTAATAACAATAATAATAAAAATAAGCAGCGGTAAATCATAGTAGATGTTCAAAAGCTTGTCCGTTATAGTTTACTGCTTCTATATCCTTTCTTCTCAGTCTTCCAAATTCTGTTCTATGTTCAACTTGAGGTTTGGTCTGATATACCAAACGAACGACTATCTGATGATTCCACGACCTATCTAGAAAACTCTGTTTTTTGAAATAACAAAGGTTTGGCAATGCGATATATGTCACGCTATACATTTTTGGAATCAGAATTATGAACTGTATGCATCTGTGTAAAAATCCAATATGGTATCTATAAAAAAATAAAGTCAATGCTAGCAGGACAGGAGACGAAACGTGAGGAGTGACAATGTTAATGAGCAATTTATTTTGAAATCCTACTACAAAAAAGTCAGGAAAATTTAATTTTGGGAAAATTCGATTTTCTTCGTCTCTGTCTCTCTCTCTTATTTTCCTACTTTTTTTTATATACCTTTTTCCGCATGATTATTTTATCTCTCTCTATCTGTGTCTATATATATACAGGGTGACGCATCGAAAACGAAACAGACGCATTTACTGGCAGCTCAGTTTTTTTTTAATAACGCTCAGAACCGTCGATTTTGTTTTCGAGGGCGACACAAGTTTGGCAAAAAATCACGTTAGTACGTGCAGTCCTCTAAGCGGGGGTATGGAAAGGGGGGTCGAGTGATACCTTATTTTAAAGGTCTATCAATTCTCGTTATAATGATATAAAATTAATGTACTTCAGTTCAGTAGTTTTGAAGATTTATTGATTTAAAGCTTAAATAAAACTAATACATCATCATTAGTGGAGATCAATACATTTGGCGGCAAAGTAATTTAAAAATGAAGAATGAACTGACCCGTTAGGCAAGTAAATGTTGAAAATGGCCACCATGACTCTCCATGCAATAATAAAGATTTTGCTCAAAACGTTGCCGCATATTTTGCAATATTTGAGGAGTAATTTGACAATTCACAATTCTTTGTCTCAAGTCTTCTAATGATGTTGGCTGAGTAGCATAGATTTTGCTTTTTAAATGATCCCACATAAAGAAATCCAAAGGTGATAAATCTGGCGATCTTGGGGGCCATTCAATGGCACCTCTTCTACCAATCCATTGATCTGGAAACGTCTGATCTAAATATTGTCGAACACGTAATGCATAATGTGGTGGGGCACCATCCTGTTGGAACATCAACCTATTCGCAATGTACCGCCGATCATTCTGATTTTCAATTATGGCTGTTAATGCAGGATCTATGGCGTCTTCCAGTAATTCCAAATACATTTCACCGGTCAAATTTCCAGGTAAGAAAAAAGGACCAACTAAATGATATCCAAAAATACCAGCCCAAACATTTAATTTTTGTGGGTACTGTGTATGAACCTCATGATAAATTCTGGGATTAGAATCGGACCAATATCGGCAGTTATGACGATTTAATGTGCCATTTAAGAAAAAGGAACATTCGTCGGAAAAGCAAGTGTTGAATAGAAAATGTTCATCGTTTATAATTCGTTCACTCATATCTTCACAAAATTGTAATCGCCGATCAAAATTGTCTTCATTAAGTTCTTGTACCAGGTGAATTTTATACGGATGAAAACTATGGGCCTTTAGAATCCGTTGGACAGTACGTCGACTAACACCACACACAGTCTCCAATTTGCGGGTACTTAACGTAGGATCTACATAAACTTGCCCTAAAACCCTCACTTCTATTGCTTCGTTCCTTATGGGATTTTCAATGTTGCGTTTTTTATTGGCGACTGACCCAGTTTCCCGAAATTTAGCTACAAGTTCTAGAACATATTTTTGATGCACGTTACTGTTCTCATGTCGCTCATGAAATATTTCTGCTGTTCTATTAGCGCACTGATTATTTCCGAAAAGTATTTAGATAATTTCAACTCTTTCTGCTGTGGAATAAACCACGGTTAATTTATGTAATAAAGCGTTACAAGTTATTTTAGCAACAAAGTTTGGTCAAATCAATCGCAAACTATGTACTAAATTCCTGTTTAAAATAAGTACGAGATATTTCCTTAGCTTTCATCAAGAAATAACTTTTTTGCCACAAAAAAACGCTCCAATAGCTATTTTCAACAACAAAATGATAAACAAACCATGGGCGTAGTGAAGAAAAGCATTTACTTATTAAGTAAATTCTTTTAGTCAAATTTCTTCTGAAAGTAGTACAAACTAATCTGATGTACCTATTAAAGTCTACTTTAAGCTTTAAATCAATAAATCTTGAAAACTACTGAACTGAAAGCTCATGTATTTTACATCATTATAAGGGTAATTGAAAGGCCTTTAAAATAAGGTATCACTCGACCCCCCTTTCCATTTAAGATTTTAGGGTTGGTGTCACCGCCGCCCAGGGGGCTGCACGTGTTAACGTGATTTTTTACCAAACTTGTGTCCCCCTCGAAAACAAAATCGACGGGTCTGAGCGTTTTTCCAAAAAAAACTAAGCTGCCAGTAAATGCGTCTGTTTCGTTTTCGATGCGCCACCCTGAATATCTTATATATCCTGAAACACTCCGTATAAAGCCAACTGACACAGTTAAACGGATTTCAGTGGCAAGAAACGGAGGACTTTGGTCGCAAGAAAGAAATAAGATCCCACATGTACAAACTTCGAGAGCAACGTTTGAAAGAGTTTTACAACAGCAACGAAAGTACGGAGATTCACAGAACAACAACAGGCAAGACGTGCGACAGTAGAACTCACGCTGGCTCTTTGACGGATCAGAGTTTCTTAAGTTTGAAAAGCAAGGAGGTCAGGGACTCTGAATCGCCTACTAGGGATAGCGGATATCGCATTGCAGGTAATTTAGATAAAACGTATTGTAGAAGAAGAAGAAGATAGCTATCTCCGTTTAATTTATGAGCCAACCTATATAGACCAACAAAAAAGTTATACAAAACGTTGATTTTGAATTCCCATTGAAACTACATGCGGGTTTTTTTCAGCGCAAACATGTGTATTAAGCAAATTTATCATACCACGTCGGATAAAACATGTCTCATCTGTAAACAAAATTTTCTTGTGAAATGACCTATCAGCTGCTCTTCATTCTGACATATTTTGTACAAATCTCAAACGTGAGGGTAGTCAGTAGACGATAATTCCGGCTGAATGTGAAAAGAACGAATGAATTGCTTTTTTAAAATCCGGTTGAAAGTGCTTTTTAGAGCTCCTAGTTTCCACTTCAAGAACAGCTTCTTCCACTAATAGTGCCACGGTTTCCCAGCGTTGACTCGACTAATTTCTCGAAGTCGGTGTTCTATGCTTACAAAAGTCTGACGATTTGGAATTCGTTGAAAAACATATCAGTCTTTTCGTCGAAAGAATATTCCATATTCACGAGTAAAACAAGCACCAACAACTTAACCAAAAGTAATGTTAAACTTTAATTAATTTAAAATTTATGAAGGACAAACAACAAATTAATACTCAAAAATAGACTCAAATACTACTTATTAATATGAATCTTATGAATCTTGTTGTCAAACATAATCTGACACCTGACACTGACGTAACATCCCCACATTTCCGCCAACTAGATGCCAACCAGATTTTAACACTTAATAACAATTTTAACAACAAGAACATTTTTTAGAGACCATGTCCGAAAAACGCTTTTTTTCTCTCGAAAACTATGCGAGATGGAATATTTTTATGAGATACAAAAAATGAAGTAAAACTCAGAGTCGTAGAGGGAGTTGCGAAAAAAAATCTGCTATAATTTATGTAGGGGTGGGAGTAGTTTTCTCCCTTCTAGAACCCTTTAGACTTTTTCGTAAAAATCAAATATTAGACCGTATAGCAGAACATATATGTTGAAAATTTCATTGTTTTAAAAAGAAAACGTTGACGCCCCCTAACGGAGAAACGCAGAACTTTTGAATAGAAGTAAATCATGTCCAATCGACTTATTTTGAGTATAAAGATACCTGGTATTTGTGAGTCCACGGAATATTGGGACACCCTGTGCATTGTTGCAGCCTTGTAGTGTCCAGTAAGAATCCTTTGAAACCAATTTTCTTTCCAGGGAAACACAGTGACCATGGTTGGGACGTACTCTCAGCCAATGAAATAAGCATGGACGGTAAAACCCATACCACTATAAAACAAGCTACTACAGCTGGAACTCAAAAAATTGATAGTGGCAAGATTGACTTTGCAGGCAAGACCGAGCAGGTCTCTACTGTCTTCCAGGATGGCGACGATAAGAATTTTACGAAATCTGTGGGTGCCAAATCCAACACAATGATCACCCAAGAAGCTGTTGGAGGTGATGAAAACTCCAGTTTCAAAGCTACGTCCACCAAAGTCTCATCTTCTTCGAAAGTAGTTACGGAACATAGGACAACAGATGGAAAAACTCTACCATTGACCACTGGTGATCAAGTAGTGCGAAAAATTTACACTACCGACGTACCTAGCGACTTAAAAAATCATCCCAGTTACTTGGAGGGTAAGACCAAGGTAACCCAAGAGATCAAAACCTTACCAGATGGTACCACGGTTACTGCAACTAGGTATGAAACGAAAGGAGGCACTGCTTCTCAATCTCACACCACTTCGAAATACTCTGCAACATCCAAAAGCTCTTCAGAGCAAAGCTCGTCTTTCAAAACCTCTCAAGTAGAACTAGGTGGTACAACAATTGTTAAAGATCATCATGGAGTAGATGAGGTTGATATTATTTGTGAGCCCAAGACGTCGATGCAGATAGTTAGGAGTTCAGACCAGAAGCATCTAGATACTGACCATAGTCAAAAAGTTCGTCACGAATACCATGAAAGTCAAACTGTGCAGGAACATCGTAGTTCTGCTCAGGCAAGAAAAGAACTCCACGAGAAACATGTTGGTCAACAACAATTGCAGCAACAAAGGATTCAAGAAGCTGTGAAAAAGGCTACGTCAGAAAGTATGCATCAAAGGAAAGAAAGTGTACAGCAGAAGTCTCACACAGAATTCAGGCAAAAACAAACCAATGAGAAGCTTAGGGCTACTGATACAGAACAGGTAATGGTTGATATGGTACCTATCGATCACATTGAAGTCACTAGGGTCACTAAGACTATGCCTTCAGAGCATGTTACTCACATCACTACAGCTACACATGATACTAAAGGTACTACCGATATGAAATCGAGTACCGGCGTTGATGTTACTTCAACTAGAAGTACCATCTATCACCATGACACAACCAGGGATAAAAAGTTGACTAACGAGCAATTTATCACTACCGAAAGGCAACATGAGATAGACACAAGAAAACATGTAGAACCCGGACCAGAATATCCAAAAGGGAAACAACCTCCAAATGAGAAGCCTCAATATGAACAACCTGAGAAGCTTCAGCCTATACAACCCGCCAAGTCAGAGTGGGAGCAACCTTCGAAGGCTGAGGGCCAGTACGATACAACTTATAGAACAGATTATGTCAACAGAAAAATAAGCGTTGAAGTTAGTCCTACTCATGATGCATTTGCAAGATCTTTGAGGGCTGTCTCTCCAGATAGGCTACCTCCTCACTTGGTTTCGCCTACTCACATTAAAAGCGCAAGTTCTACGTCTTTAAGGGGTAGTAATAGTCGTGATAAGTGCAGACATCCATCCAGAGGTTCTCCAGAGCGAAAGTCTAGAAGTGGAAGTCCAAGGAAATCTGTTGATAGATTCTCAAGCACTGAGACTATAACTTACGGCTCAAGAGCTAGCCCTGAAAATAAAACTCCAACAAAGTATGTGAATGGAGTGGATATTGTAAGAAAACATGGTGACAGATCCACATACGAGAGTGACACTATAACAAGGAAAAAGAAAATCAGTACTGATACTATCACTAGGAAAACTAAACCTAGATCTAGATCGCCTTCTCCAATATCTACCGTGGCCAGTGAAATAGAGTACTTCAAGAACGTTAATGAAATCGTTACTGATTTGGATGAAGTTACTGATGAAACAGATACTCGTAGAACTACCACTACAACTGAAAGACCAAGCAGTCTTGAAATTATCACAACGAGGAAAATAAAGAAAGTTACCGAAAGGTCACCAACTTCACCTCTGAAAGATGTGAGTCCAACTAAAGCATCTCCTCCTAGAGCTAGCTCACCTCAAAAAACTCGTACTCTTCCAGAAGACCGGGCGATGAAGAGAACTGATACTTATGAAGAAAGATGCCGTCAGATATTGGGTATCACTGAGACCAATGAAAGACGTAGAAGTAGTTTAGAGAAGGCTTCTATCAGAAAAAGTTCATTCACCAAGGATTCTACCCTGTCACCAAATGAGCTTCCTAGAAAGAAGTCAGGAGAGACACCTCGCAAAAGTCCGACTAAGGACAAGCCATTCAGACCTACTGACTTTGTGACACAACTTAGGAAATCTCCAGAGAAGCAAGTGAAGACAAAAAGTCCTAGTCCTACAAAAGAAGTACCTTCTCAAACCAGGAGGTCACCTGAGAAGAAGAAGAATAGGCCATCTACAGAATCACCCACAAAGCTTCAAGAATTTCCATCTCAGATAAGGAGATCCCCTGAAAGAAAAGCTTTTGAACCTTATCCTGAAAGGAGGAGCCCGTGTAAGGAGTCTCCATCTAAGCTTAGCGAGTTTCCTTCACAGATCAGACAGTCTCCAGAAAGACAACCGTTAGAGCCTTATCCTGAGAAGAAGAGGCCTTGTGAAAAATCGCACTCTAGCCTTCAAGAGTTTCCTTCACAAGTCAGGAAGTCGCCAGAAAGACAGCCTTTGGAACCTTGTCCTGAGAAAAAGGGACCTTTTGAGAAATCACCTTCAAACCTTCAAGAGTTTCCTTCGCAAATTAGGAAGTCGCCAGAAAAACAGCATTTGGAAACTTATCCTGGAAGAAAAAGTCCAACAAAAGATACTCCTTCTAAATTAAGCGAGTTCCTACCTCAAATCAGAAAATCGCCTGAAAGGGAACCGTATCCGGAAAAGAAAAAGCTTTATGAAGATATTCCTTCATATATCAAAGAGTTTCCTTCTCAGACTAGGAAATCTCCTGTAAAAGAACCTCTGGAACCATATCCTGAAAAGAAACGACCATGCGAAGATGCTCCACCTAAGCTTAAAGAATTTCCCTCACAGATCAGAAAGTCTCCAGAAAGAGAGGCTTTGGAACTTTATCCTGAAAGGAAAAGTCCGACAAAAGATACTCCTTCTAAGTTGAGCGAATTTCCATCTCAAATTAGAAAGTCCCCAGAGAAGCAGCCTTTGGAGCAGTACCCTGAAAAGAAGAGAGCTTGTAAAGATTCGCCACCTCAACTCGAGGAGTTTCCTTCTCAGATCAGAAGATCTCCCGAGCGGCATTCTCTAGAACCTCTCTCTGAGAAACGTAAGCCTCGTGATGATTCCCCTTCAAAATTGTCAGAATTTCCTTCTCAGAGTAGGGAGGGATCTTGTAGCTTATCTTCTATACCCTCTGCAAAGTCTCCCGAAACGTTCAAGTCAAATAAGAATGGCAAAAAGCCCAAATCGAAGAAACCTACTGATACAGGCTCCTCAAGCAGTTCTTCTGAAGATGAAGAAGTTACTGAAGAGGTAACTAAAATAACTACTACCACGTACGAGAATGTGGTTCCAGTCAAAGAACCTGAGGTGACGAAGAAATTCATAAGTCAACTGTGTCGTGAGGATGAAGTGAAGCATACTGACAGCGTCAAGAAGGCCACTGAAGAGCTACTTGAGCAGGAAATTCTTCAGAATCGAGTTGAGGCTCATAAAACTGTGAAAAAGGACCTGTCGAGAAGTGAGAAGCAAATGCCTGTAAAGCCCAAAACTGAGGTATTTATTGATATTGAGCGTCAAACAGCAGTTCAATTTGCTATGAAGAAAAAAAATGATAAGGCCAAAGATACGAAAAAAGAAACGACTACACGAACTGTAAAAGAAACTCCAAAGTCGAAAAAGCAACCTGAGATTCATCGCACAGAAAAATCTAAATTCGTCGGAGAAACTGAATATACTGACGAGTATTGCAAGACAAGACCAAAGGTTCAGAAGACTACTGATAAGATTACTTTGACGGATTTGGAGCGTTCTCAGAAGAACCAAATTGACAGTAAGGTTCATACAAGAACTCATAGAAGTGATAACACCTCAAGCAAGAAGACAACCACAAATATCTTCACTAATGGAGATGTTTGCAAGAGAATGAAGCCTAAAGAAACAACTAAGAGTCCTACAAGCACAAAAACTATTACAACTACTGTTGACGTTACTAGTAAGAAGACTCCGTCACCAAGAACTGAGGATGTTAAGCAAAGCAACGTGACGACTCAGTCTAGATACAGCACAACTGTAAAGAAAATTATCAACGTTCCTGACCAGGCTGTTAAACCTAAGCCTGTTGAGCCCAAAAAGCTGTCACCAATTAAGAAAGTAATTGATATCACCAAAGTAAAGCCTTACAGGACAGAACAGACAACTGTGAACAAGCATGCTGTTAGTTCTATTTCAGTTACTACGAAGCCTAAAACAGGTACAACAAAAACAACTAAAACCACGACTATTAAGGAAAATATCTCTAAACCTACAAGGTTTCACAATGGGCATATTCCCTCTGATACTGACGAAGACATTGATAGTGTAGAAGAATCCACATTTAATTTAACAAAATCTGATGCTGAAAAGTCGTTTACCAGCACTAGGATAACCAAAACTAGAGACGATCAAGATGTAACCACAAGAACATCTAGAAAACCAGACAAATGTATCACTACTAAGACCTTGATCATCAATAACAAAGATGACAAACGTGAAGTCATAGTTGACCTACAAAGATCAAAATCTTCTAGGGAGCCTACACCAGATAGGTTATGCCCGGTACCCTTATCTTCTGATGACGAGTCAGGTGTCCCGAGATATCCTGACGAAGTTGAGGAACCTGAAGATGGAAGCTTGAGAAGAAAACCTAAGCCTACTAGGCTTTCTGATGTTCCGATTATAGAATCTGAGGATACTGTTGAATTTTCTAGATTTACTGAGGTGACTGATGCCAGGAAGATTACCGAGGTTGACAAGGTAGACCAAACGGATGAGAGTCTGCTAAGTGTTAATAGGAAGATTCATAAGTTCTTAGATACAGCTGAGAAATTGACAAAAGAACCATTGAAGGTGTCTGGGCCAGCACCCAAAGTTGAAAGACCTAAACTGGAAGTCAACGATGATCTGGAATCCGATGAGTGCTTACTGAGTGTGTCTGATAAAGTAAGCAAGTTTATCACTACAGCTGAGCAGTTGATAACACCCAAGTCCATGCCAGAACGTCCCAAAAGCCCAAGGTGTCAGAACAATATAGATGATACGCGAAGACATCCAAAACATTCAAGTGACACTACCGTAGAGATCGAGGAGACCATCAAAGACGATGAATGCCTCCTGAGCGTATCTGAGAAAGCTTCAAGGTTCATTTCAACTGCTGATAAACTGGCGACTTCTGATTCGAAGAAACAAACTGTAAGTTTGGCCAAGATTGACGTAAACCCTGGTAGAAAATCACCTGAAAGAAAGGTTCCAGATCGAAAATCTCCAGAGAGGAAGTCACCAATTAGACCAACTGATACACAATGCGTACAGATAGAAACTGAAGAGCAGATGTATACGCGTAGACCTTCTCCAAGCAGAAGCTCACCAAGTCCTGATGATAAAACACCAACAAGAAGACCTTCAAACCAATACAAAGAGATATTGAAGACTGGAATGAGCACTACTCGAAGATCTAGTTCACCAAAACAGCATGAGTCTACACCAAAAAGCACTAAGGAGGAGCCTAAACCAGTATTGAGTCCTACTGGGAGGTTGAGAAGTACTGAGAGTATTAAAAGGGCTAAGGCGTTGTTTGAGAATATTGGGAAAGAGAAGGAAAGCGCTTGGTCAAAGGATATTATCAGTAGACCTTCTGTGCTTGAAGCAAGGAAGAGTAAGGGAGAGGACAGGAGGGATTCACTCAAAAAGAAACTGAGCTACTCAGAAGAAGAAGCTCCTCATGAAGAGACTTGCTCGCGTTTAGAAAGGGCAAGATCCAAGTCTCCTGAAAAAGAACGTCCCAGATCAAAATCTCCACAAAAAGATCATCCGTCAGAGGTTGTGCAAACTCAAGATCAAGGCGATGTGCCCCACTATATGTTGCCTTTAGATAGAAGTCTGAGACCGAACAGTCCTCACAGGGAGAGTCTTGCTCAGAATGTGCCTCAAAGTCACCAAGAGAAACCAATAGAAGAGCCAGAACCCCATACGACAAAGTTCAATGTTACTTTACGAAGAACAGATTCTGGAAGAGCCGTTAAGTCTAGTACTACAGAACGGAGGAAGAGTAGTCTATCTTCTGAGAAGCGAATAACAGAGGAAGAAATTGAGGAAATTTTCGAATTGGAAGTATTGGAAGAATTGGTAAGTTCAATGTACTTTTCTAGCTTGGCGTCAAATTTAGTTTTTTGCATACATTTTCTGCTAATGAAAAAGCTACGACTTATATGCAGTTTTACTAAATAATCTCGATAATACGGTTATTTTAGTGAGGTGCAATAAGTACGTTATTGAGGAAACCATATTCAGGCATGTTTTCGATTGAATCATTATTAGCAAATTTACCATCAACTTGTCTGATGTATTTAATCAAACATTGAAAATTTAGAATTTGTTGCTTCCAACAATGGATATATAATCTTCTTTTGCAGCTTGAAAAAGTGATTGGTTATGATCTACGTAGAAAAATCAGGACTCAGATACGTCTCGTGAAAAAACTAATATCAGAAAACAGTCTGGAGAGTTACATTGCAAAACGAAAAGAATCCATCAGAAGGGACTCCATCTCTAAAATAATCAAAACTGACCACCTTCGAAAAGCTAGTCCTGAAAGGAGAACTGTAGATTCCACCAAGTCATATCGCCACACTTCTATTACTGATTCTAAGGATCATTCTCAGAGTCAGAGTGAATATAAGTTATCCTACTCGTACCAAGCAAGAAAGTCTTCATCAGAATATAACACGAAGACAACTAGTAGAAGTCAGAGCCCTGAGGTGAAACCAGTAAGAGCTCCCAGTCCACAAAAGCAGACTCGAAGCAGGTACAGTATCCCTTCTAAACTATTGTTTTTGTGATTTGAAAGTCATTATGCTGTTGATTTGGGATACCCCAGAATAAGATGGCAAACCCTCGGATACGTATACAACACAAAAGATGCTACGTCTGTATATGCGAGGCTCCACATTTTTTGCTTTCTTTTGCGTCCAAAAGGTTGTTATGCTATTTTGAGACGCACTGTACATATTTTCTGTTTATAGATGCAGTCCCGAGAAAGAGCCAAGATCAAGAATCAGCCCGGATCGCAAAACCAAATCTGAAACCAAAACCTTCACAAATTTGAAAAAATCCGCCTCTAGGTCTAAACCTGTTGAAGACGATAAACCTGAATGGGTGAAGTCCAGAAACTTGAGAAAAACAACGGAAACGCCAGCGCCGATAGTGAAAAAGACAACTACCACTACTAGAACTACGAAGAAAGAAACTGTTAGATCGAAAAGTCCAGTCAAAGAAGTTAAAACTACTGATTTAATAACGTCGAGCTATGGTGTTGGACCTACTGATGAAAACGGTACACCGCTTTTTGGTTTGAGAGCACTGAGGGCCCAAAATAAAAGTGACATAACAAAAGGTAGGCTTACAAAAATATGATAATGATTTTTTTGTTTGTTTAAGATTTACTTTGCATGATTGCTACAATTTCATTCTATTAAAAAACTACAACAATTACATAACATACAAATATTAAAAAAAAAACTCTAAGTGCTGTCGCTGTCCATGGAATGTTCCTTTAATTTTCTTTTAAACAACTTTAAATTACAAGCATGCTTCGTATCATTATTTAGTATATTAAATTCAAGTAAAAAAATCCGTCGTGTGTGTGTTCATAGCCGGCAAACAATAAAGATACTAGAGCGTACAAAAATTGACTCGGATACTATAGACGCGTGTACAAAGTTCATTTGCCCAGAATTGCGTGGAAAGTACAGAGTCAACCTACTTGACGCTTTAATTTTAGTTCAAGGTACAGTGGTAACCAGCGAATACTATTCCCAAAATGGCGAAGAGCCGGTTGGTCAGATCTGCGTTACGAAATATTCGACCGATCCGAGAGATTTGGGCAAAGCCGACCAAACATCGACTAACAAAGGACTAACCAGCGTGACCACCACGCAGAAATTTGGATACAAGGATACACCTTCCCTAAAATCGCTTACGAGCAAGAAAAAAGTAAGTCCAGGAAAGTGAAATATGGAGAATACAAAAATCGTTTTCTATGTGTTCTATGAGATCCTTAAATTCAATTTAGTTGATACAACTACAATAAACTTTCATGAGATCATACTTTTAGATGAGATATATCAGTATCAAAATTGATAAGAGCGGGAGGATTTATGCAATCAAAAAGTTACATAAGAGATTCATGAGGTCGATAAGCTCAATGTGATCAGTAAATTCCATGAGATCGCCCATACCACCGGGCTGAAATCTAAATCTAAGATGAATTAGAACAGTGGGATTTATTAAATCAACAAGTTATATGAAACTCTTGAGGTCAGTAAGCTGAGCGAGGTCAGGGATTGCCATAAGTTTGCTTAGATCAATTGATTTCTTGAAATCTTTCATTTATACGAGATCCATTAGAACAGTATTCAAGTTAGATGAATTCAGTGAAATTAATGAAATTAACCAGATATGTGAGCTTCATCAGCTCGATATTAGATGAATTTAGTGAGGTTTGAGATATCAACCAGTTATGTCGATAAGCTCGATGAGATCAGTGATTGCCATGAGATCGCTGAGATCAATGAGTTTCATGAGTTAAAATCGATGAGATCAATAAACTTCATTGGATCATTGACATATACGAGGAAAATCCAATTTCTGATGCTTTTACAGTGAATACATAACGTTAAAGAATCACATTATTTGTTATGTGCACGTATATAGACGAACTCTCTTTCCTAAAATTAAAAATTGTAAACATAACACAAAAACAAATTGACCGTTTATAATCGTAGTTTCCGTTTTCTAATATTTCATGCACTAAAAAATTTCCGCAATCAAAATATCGAGTGGACTACATAATAATGTTTTGTTATTTTAACATGTATTGCCAAAACGCCAAACAAACATCAACAAGGTATTAAAAAGATAGGAAGCCGATTGTTATAAATACAGGGTGGCGCATCGAAAACGAAACAGACGCATTTACTGGCAGCTCAGTTTTTTTTGGAAAAACGCTCAGACCCGTCGATTTTGTTTTCGAGGGGGACACAAGCTTGGCAAAAAATCACGTTAACACGTGCAACCCCCTGGGCGGGGAAGACACCAACCCTAAAATTTTAAATAGAAAGGGGGGTCGAGTGATACCTTATTTTAAAGGCCTGTCAATTCCCTTTATAATGATGTAATTTGCATGAGCTTCAGTTCAGTGGTTTTGAAGATTTATTGATTTAAAGCTTAAAGTAGACTTTAATAGGTACATCAGATGAGTTTGTACTACTTTCAGAAGAAATTTGGCTAAAGGAATTTACTTAATAAGTAAATGCTCTTCTTCACTACGCCCATGGTTTGTTTATCATTTTGTTGAAATAGCTATTGGAGCGTTTTTTTTGTGGTAAAAAACTTATTTCTTGAAGAAAGGTAAGGAAATATCTCGTACTTATTTTAAATAGGAATTTAGTACATAGTTTGCGATTGATTTGACCAAACTTTGTTGCTAAAATAACTTGTAACGCTTTATTACATAAATTAACCATGGTATATTCCACAGCAGAAAGAGTTGAAATTATATAAATATTTTTCGGAAATAATCAGTGCGCTAATAGAACATTTAATGAGCGACATGAGAACAGTAACGTGCATCGCAAATATGTTCTAGAACTTGTAGCTAAATTTCGGGAAACTGGGTCAGTCGCCAATAAAAAATGCAACATTGAAAATTCTATAAGGAACGAAGCAATAGAAGTGGGGGTTTTAGGTCAAGTTTATGTAGATCCTACGTTAAGTACCCGCAAATTGGAGACTGTGTGTAGTGTTAGTCGACGTACTGTCCAACGGATTCTAAAGGCCCATAGTTTTCATCCGTATAAAATTCACCTTCACCTTCACTTAATGAAGACGATTTTGATTGGCGATTACAATTTTGTGAAGATATGAGTGAATGAATTATAAACGCTGAATATTTTCTATTCAAAACTTGCTTCTCCGACTAATGTTCCTTTTCCTTAAATCGCGTAGTAAATATAATTACCGATATTGGTCCGATTCTAATCCCAGAATTTATCATGAGGTTCATACACAGCAGCCACAAAAATTAAATGTTTGGGCTAGTATTTATGGCGATCATTTAGTTGGTCCTTTTTTCTTACCTGGAAATTTGCCCGGAGAAGTGTATTTGGAATTACTTTAAGACGTCATAGATCCTGCATTAACAGCCATAATTGAAAATCAGAATGATCGGCGGTACATTGCGAATAGGTTGATGTTCCAACAGGATGGTACCCCACCACATTACGCATTACGTGTTCGACAATATTTAGATCAGACGTTTCCAGATTGATGGATTGGTAGAAGAGGTGCCATTGAATGGCTCCCAAGATCGCCAGATTTATCACCTTTGGTGTATGTGGGGTCATTTAAAAAGCAAAATCTATGCTACTCAGGGAACATCATAAGAAGACCTGCGACAAAGAATTGTGAACAAGCGCCTTCAAATTACTCCTCAAATATTGCAAAATGTGCGGCAACGGCTCAGTTCATTCTTCATTTTTAAATTACTTTGCTGCCAAATGTATTGATCTTCACTTATGATGATGTATTATAAATTATGTAATGTATTATAAAGGGAATTGAAAGACCTTTGAAATAAGGTATCACTCGACCCCCCTTTCCAAGATTTTGGTGGTGGTGTCACCCTTGCTTACGGGGCTGCACGTGCTAACGTGATTTTTAGCCAAACTTGTGTCCCCCTCGAGAACATAATCGACGGGATAAGCGTTGGAGTCAGGGAACACTACGATTGCAGGAAATCATACTGAAGCTTTATGAAACATTGAAACATCCTTATTTTCAAGAACATTGCATTTTCTTTAGCAAGTGATGGCTGTTTCATCAGTTAGCCACCTGAGCTAAGGAAGACCTGAGTGAATCTCCTGTCATTTTTAAATATCGATTTTTGTTTTCAGGAAGTAACAAATACGGAAGAATCGAAGACTTGTACGAAAAGCAACAAAATCGCTAGGCGAAATTCGGTAAAAGAAATTTCCCAAAAGTTTATCGATAATGCTGGTAAGAATATTTTGATGGCGATAACTATTTTTGAATTAATTTTACCATTTTTTAGTTGACATCTTGAAGAGTGAGAGGCAAACAACCTATCCCAAGGCAGGATTGATTTTGCGCACTTCCAGCTTCAAGGATTCAAGGACTGGTGATTCGAGGCAAGCCAGACAAACATCTCCAGGTCAGTTTTCTGAATATTTCTTAAGGAAGCTTTTAGAATACAACCAACTTTTAGAATTCGCATAGATGGAAAATCTTGATGTATGTTAATCCAAAGTTTAATTGAAAAAAGCTTTTATAATTAGTTTACATTTTCTGGTTATTAGAAATCGCAATATTGATATAATCACAAACCTGCAATAATATAAGATCATAACCTCAAATGCCTTGTCATGACAAGAGTGACGTCGTTGATGCCGATCCGTTGATTAAGAAGTTCTGTTTCTTATAAATTTTAATTCCTGTGCGAACGCAAAAAAATTGGAACTTTCTTTTACACTACGTATAGATCTTGAAAAAATGAGCAGTTTTTTCTAGTGATATATACATCAAAGTCTTAAGATTACCGAGATGTTAGGCTCCGCAAAATAAATTAAGCCCTAATCCGGTCCCGCACCTCGATCAGATCAACCGTGATCATGTACGATGCGCATCAGTACTCAATCCAGGCGCTGGTCGCGTTGGTACACATCATTTCTAAAAAAACAAAACAAAAATGGCAATGTCCATTTTATTTTAATTTATGGCGAGTGTCTTCGAAATGCTACACAGGCTTAGCTAGTGCATGAAGATCGTTTTTCGAGAACCTTCGTGATTTCTTTTATTCTTTGGGGGGAATGAAATGTATAAAACTGAGATGAACATGGTTGACGAACTAGGTGTGCGAATTTAGCAATGCGCTGCATTCATTCGGGAACGGTTGTCCACAGCGATGGTAGGCTACGTCGAGCACATGTATTGTGTGTTTGAATCTATCACAGACAACTTTGAACAGTACTTACTTGAAACTTCTTTTCGATGAACGGTGAATACTTTCTCATTTTTTTTTCGCTGTTCCTTCAGCACACATTAGCTTTGTTATTACAAATGTAGTTGTTTCTGAAAATGAAAATCCCAACTTTCAGGACACCCTGTAAATCATACGTCACAGATTTCCCCGTACATTTTCTCGTAAAAATTGGAGAAATATGATACGGACGTATCGCGTCTTTATCGCACAAAGCCATTTCTGCGATTGCCTTCCTATCTTTCACCGCCACACTGCTCGAACTGACCAGCAAAGCATGGCCGACGTTGCCAGAGGGACGAAAGTTTCAGTAAGGGCAGGGAAGTTTTTAGATCGCAGCATTATCGAATGGGTGGGACCATATGCTAATTGTATGGGCCTGTTTGGCTCTCAAGATCCATTTAATTGTTTTTGTGTTATACATTTCCGTAGTGAACTTTTTTCTTGTAATAATAATCTTTTATGCGCTAAATTAACATACTTGGCGCATTTTTTTATTCAAATCAACGTTAAATGAGCGTATTTTCCAGAGAAAGAAGACTTTGAAAGTTCGGTGACAGTGAGAACAACAAAATCCCGAACTGAAGGTGGTGAAACAACGTTCCTAACGAACAAGTCTCGAGTGACGGGCGTTCAAGATGTGATAGATAGAATGAAGACTGAAGAATATCGAGAAGGTGACAGCGCGGAAGATTTTGAAGCCAGGAGTTTGTTGAATAAGTTCATCGGATCACAGGTAATCTTTGGGATAAAAGGGATATATTCAGATCCATGAAGTGAAATTCATCATAAACAGTGGCTCAAAATACCATGATATACAGGCTGTCTGCGAAAGGTGAAGAAATCTCGAAACTGAAGATACTACAAACCAAAATATGTGGATTGACCCAAACATACCTCAGTCCAAAAGTTGATAGTTTGCGAGATACAGGGTGTCAAAGTTACAATTTTATTTTCTACTTTTCCTTATTGCTTGAGAAGTATTTCAGATTTTGGCATAAAACTCGGTATAGGGAGGTTTTCTAGTACATATCAGAAACAAGAATCCGTTATTCTTTATGGTCAAACTTCTAGAGGGCGCCACTTGCAGCACTATCTTGGTAAATAACTTATCCTAACCTTTTGTGCTACCCTGTATGCAATAACTGACCGAAAAATCTTATTTTCTCGTATTTCCAGAACAAAAAAGGTTTATTTGTTAGAAGTGTCTAAAGATAATAGTTTTCGAGATATTTGGTTTTAAAAGTTCCAATACATTATTTGTCTCGTACCATGATGATAATACATTTTAATAACATAATAATCAAGTTTCTTTGGTTAATATCTGTGTAGCGTTGTTATGGTTTTCAAAAATGACAAATGAGGATGGCAACAAAACTAATAAACGGGAATAATAACTACAAACCGCCTTGCCTAACACACGAGCTCGATGAACTAATCCTTGCAGCACTCTCCAAAGCATTTGGATGTTATTTTTGATTTCCTGGCTATGGTAGAAAATTATTTGTCAAAGATCGCGTACCGTTTCCACTGGCGTATTGTAAGCGCGTCGTATATGTTATATTTTGAGCAAAACTATTTAAAATCCAAATGGTTTTTACTACTCAAAATAAGGCTATAATCACTTCTTACCAGTTTCTAGTAACCGCTGATCGATTCGTTGGAAAGTCTTTGAATTAGGCAAGTGTCTATTAGGGAATCTGTCAGCGTACAATCTTCCTGCTTTTAAAGCATTACATCTTGCTAATCCTTACATTAAATGCATATCAGAATATTGATCAAACGTATACTCCACGATGTTTAACAACTTAATGTCAACTTAAGAGTATTCATGAAGTTTAAAACAATATTATGACAAACAATAGAAACCATGGCAACGCTACTCAGATATTATCCAAAGCAATTTGATTACTATGTTATAAAACTGTTTTATCATCATGGTACAAATAATGCATTGGAAAAAAATACCTCGAAAACTATTAGCTTTAGATACTTCTAACAGGTAAACCTTTTTTGTTGTGGTAATACGAGAAAATAAGATTTTTCGGTTAGTTGCTGTATACAGGGTAGCATAAAAAGGTTATGATAAGTTATTCACCGAAATAGTGCTGCTATTTGGCCTTCGTGGTAGTTCAAGTATAAAAAAAAGTGTTACTGTGATGATGCTCTAGGTTACGACCAACGAGACGATAAAATCTGAACAGTAAAATGTAAAGTTCGTTTCAAACATAAGGTACGCTCCAAGCAATACACACTGTGTTACGTAAATTTATCTCCCTGGGCACTCAAATCCACAGCTTTCCTGGGTCTTTATCGATGTATCTTTACAATATACGAGCCCCTTCCCACTTCAGTTGGCCCACTTCAAGATTTGCACCAAAATATGCCTTTATAAACTAAACATGACGAAACTATTTACTTCTAAAACAATTTATTTTCTCAAAAACATTTTAGATACACTCTAGTCGTAAAAAATACATATTTAAAATCACTTAGACCTATAACTAATAGAACATCTGAACAAATAAACAATGTGCGAATAAATACGCGAAGTTAACAAAGCAACAATTGAAAGAATACCATTGGGTAACATCACCTTTATTTTTTATTACGGCTGAAATTCTTTGGGGCATAGCGTTAACCAAGTTTTGGCAAAAATTTGCTGTAAAACAATCCCATATTTCTTGAAGCTTTTGTCTCAGTTCGGTGATTGTACGGGCAGGATGTTGTCGTAGAACCTTTTTCATCTCGTGTCACAAAGTTTCAATAGGTGACAGATCTGGACTGCTAGAAACCCATTTTAAAAGTGGTACATTATTTTCTTCCATCCATTTTTTTGCGAATAACTCTACAGCGACTGTCACCAACACAAACTTCGAATCGGGCCTCATCACTCCATTGTATTGCACACCATTGTTGAGGTGTCCATTGCCTATGTTCTTTAGCCCATCTAAGCCGATTTTTCTTTTGCAGTGGAGTTAATAGTGTCTTTTCTTTGGCCTATAAACAAGTTTAGGGTTTTTACTTAATTTTTTTTATAAGAAAACTCACCTTGCAAGTGCTAAATTCCAGTTTGTGGGCCCCTCTATGAGTTGTGGACTTCGAAATTCTCCTTCCAACAGCGTCACTCCTCAGAGTACTTAATTTTAAATAATTGGCATGCCTGTTTTTCACGATTTTTCTTCTTAATGCTCTTCGGTGATTTGTGATATTACTTTTTTTACACATATCGTGGCTTAATATTAACTGAACCAGTTACGTTATGTCTTCTAACAATATTTCTCACACTGTACCGCGATAAGTCTAACAAAGTTGCAATTTCTGAGTGTGATTTCCCAGAATTAAAAAATTTATTTATCAGTAACCGAATTTTCGCACTAGTAACCTTTCATCTACCCATTTTGAAAACCTTAACTACCCAAAACTATTTTAAACGTATTCTGACAGCTGTGATTAATAGAAACAATTGTCATGGCGTTTATTTTTCACAGCCACCTATGCGTTATAGACTTATTTTGCATTGAAATGAAAATAGTAATTGCAACATGTGTTATTTTTATGCTGCAAATTTGATTAGGGAGTGATAAAGTTGGTGTTTTCTACTATATATTATCAAAATATTCATTGTAAATATTTTAAACCTATAACACCCTGCTACATATTTATTATTTGTGTTTGATAAGAAAAAAACTAAGATATCAATAGTTGGGCCAACTGAAGTGGGAAGGGGCTCGTAGTAGTAGTAGATGTCATGTTTATATGTTTAAAAATTTGAGAGGATATGCTGGTGTCAGCTGGTGTTTACAAACGGTATGACGTCAGAACACATTAATATGGGCTAAATATGGCGGACAGTGTTTTTGACTGTCTAAGAAAAATACATTAAACGAAAGGTCTTCTAGGCCTGAAAAAAATGTAGTATTATTTTTTTCTGTTTAATAGAACACATATTAACTATTTAAGGCTTACTTAGAAAAAGTGTCAACTAGCCTATTATCGTCTATCCAAGGTATGAAATCTATGAAATAAGACGGCAGTACATTTGAAGCCTTGTTGCATTAGATGACACGAATGAAAATTAAAACATGAGAGCGTTTTCCGAAACCTATGGAGAATAAATGGTCTTAGAAAAGTTTAAACAATAATTCTCTGAATGTTGAGTCATGAAACAAATTTCAACAGGTGATTCTCTCCGGCATGGAATCGAGATCAACTAGTTCATCCACTAGTACCAAATGTGCAAGTACTAGCGTTCCTTCAGGTGGAGTAAAGAAAACCAGCAAGATCACCATAACAGTCACGGTAAGTGGAAAAAATGGCTCGTATTTGTAAAAAGCGATAAGGATGTTACCGCAAGTACTATATTCTATCAACAGCGTTGCAACACTGGTTCGGTGTGCGATTCTGCGTCAGGTAGGGCGGTTGCTCCTCAGGGGTCCCATATCAAAATTTGTAGGAGGGCCCCACCTAACTGTGGCGAATCCGAAATGGAGGGTAAGGTTTGAAGTAAAGATTTCGTGAATGCAAAAATGTTAGAAATTCGAATAAACCTCGTAAAGGAGTTCTTCCACTCAGCCCTTGCCAGTAGTAGAATACATAAAAAATAGCCTACCCTAAAACTAACCAATAAACACACATAGGGTCACCTAAATTAAACATGACTATAATATATAATAGTTTAATTGTTCATCAGGTAATCCAAAACTGGTTCCATAAATTTATGTGGATTACATGGTTTGAGATAATAGGAAAGAGAATTATAATGGCTAGCAATAGTAAATTTGAGGTTTATTTCAAAAATAAATGTCCTGTGAGGTGGTATATTGATTATGTGCTTATGTCTCGTGTCAATTTTCATAATCGTTTAAATGGAAGTGGTGTTATGAGTAAAAATTAAAATAGCTTTCAGATCGTCACAAAGTTTGTTTTGTATGCTTTACAACTTTCTGGAAATGTTGAAGAGTGCCGCTACTATCACCTAGACGTAAAAAATTTTTAATTCAGAGTAAAAACTTGCGGAGATTTTGAAAAACACCTTATGGATTTTTTTCGTACTTGGGAGCCCCAGTAAGCCGGGGGCCCGGTATCATTGATACGGAAGTAGCAATCCCCCTGAGGTAGGATCTCGCTGTTGGACAGGAAAATCTAAAGCATATGATCAAGAGGGTCTCAATAGGTACTTTAGAGGTTTCTGGAGGTTTTTCAATGAATTAGAAAATTGATAATGTTTATGTAGCGAGGTGATAGCTAATCATAGCATCCAAATAATACCCGATTATAAACAGTCCCAACAGCCACAATCAAAAATTGGTAAACTTCCTGAAAATAGGTGCCATACCAAAGATACATCACTTACACCATGCTAGCCTCTACCAAAATTTCAGGGTCAGTATCGTCTGAAAGTCGAAAAATGAAGTTTACGCGATTTTTATTTTTTGCATTTTCTGCCACCACTGGACTGATTTTCAATAACTACATATAACGCTTTTTCATCTTTGGCCTAGTAGTAACCCTGTGTGAGAATTGCATCAAAATCCGACCGGTACTTTCCAAGTTGAAGCCTGGTCAAGGATTAGCGGACAGACAGACAGACGGAAATCAGTGACATGGTCTTCGATGACGTATATGTCATATTACATTCGAAAACCATAATATTTGATTTTAGAATTTTTTTGCCATTACAATACTTCCTCACTTCCTAGTAAGTAAAAACATTATCTTATATGGATCAAAACACCAGTGATAGTAGAGTTTTTTTTGTCTATCTAAGCGTAAAGACAAATTGTGCGTTTAGTCGGAAAATATATGAAAACCGGTCCATAAAATAATAAACGCTTCTAAAATAATCCTGGGAGATGTTTGGTCAAGTCAAATCAGTTAAGTCATTGTTGGTTGTCAGAGCGGTCCGTGAGAGTCACAGTGTCAGGTTGTAAGTCTGTCAGGTCTGGTAACCCAGAAACCAGACAATTTTAAGGAAAAAAGGGAAGAAAAGGAGAGAAGGAGAAACGAGAGCAAAAAGGAAAAATATAATATTTTAGGATAGGCAGCGTGTAGGCATTGTTAAAATAACTTCACAGATATATGGTCTAAAAATAATTAATTTTTTCTAAAGATTTTGTCAAAGTGCTCCAATTTTAGTTGTTCTAAGTTCACGAATCAATTTTAAATACATTGCGAGCCGCGGCCTTTTGTGCTTGCGAACTTGCTCAGCTGTGTAGTCCACTGACTCACGCAACAGAGGGTTGCTGTGCGATTCCGCTAGGCTATAGCACCGCTGCGCCTGTTGCTTAATGTAGTCCTTTAGGTAAAGGACATCGAGGTCTCTATGAAGAGTTTCGTTAGAGACATACCATGGGGCGTCAGTAATAGTGCGCAACGTCCTGCTTTGCAGAACCTGCAGATTTTGCATGTGTGTTTTGGCAATAAAACACCAAGTTGCACATGCGTAAGTCATTGGTGGTCTTATGACCACCTTATAGAGTCGAATCTTGTTAATCAAACTTAATTTTGAACGTTTACATAATAATGTGTAAAGCTGTCGAAACGTAATTTGGAATTTAGTTTTTAACGCTTGAATATGATTCCGCCAAGTCATCCCTTTGTCCAGAATGACACCGAGATACTTAGCGGATGATTCCCATGGTATTCGAAGTCCATTCATTGAAACTTCAGACGGAACGCACCGACGTCTTTTTGTATACGTACAGTAGATTGCCTACGCTTTCGAATGGTTAATTTTAATAAGCCACCGATCCGCCCAATCTAATACTTCCCTCTACTGCACTTTGCAGCCTGTCGTTGACTACGGCACCAGACCATAACTGAGCCACCAATGCAGTATCATCAGCATAGAGATAGACTTCACAGTTGCTAGGGCTAGGAACCTCATGGATGTACAGTGAGTAAAGGATAGGTCCAAGGACCGAACCCTGAGGGGCGCCGGCTGTAATCAGCCGTATTGTTGACAGGACAATGTCAATTTTGATCCGAAATTTCCTACCGTCAAGGGAGGATTTCAGTAGTTTTAGAAGCCAAAAGGAGAAGCCCTTTTGGATTAGTTCATTCAGGAGGCCCGCGTGCCACACCCTGTCAAATGCAGGATGCCAGTACTTCATCAATCTTTCAATGGATTCTTATCATCGTCCTTTTTTGACAGCTCCTGTCGAACCATCTAAAATTCGACTTTCAACTTCTCTATGGTCTGCTCTCTCGACTCCGTCTCGATTGCCATGGTGGAAGCGCCATTTCCTGACCCCCCTGGCTATCCATAGTAAATATCTCAGTTATCTCGATTTTCGCCTCAAAAATTTTCCGGATTGAAATTACGCGACAGCTGCTATCAGTGCTCTATACAGGGCGATGAGATGTTTGGTGTCAAACTCTACTCGATCTAACATCCCAGTGACGGAACGCCAACCAGGGCTGGAGTTTTGAGTAAGCAAATTTTCTAGCTTTTCCGCAAAGGTTAATACTTTTAATTCCGTTTTTGTTTTTATATAATTTTTGATTAACAGTATTGTTTCAGATTTGGATATTAATTTATGTTAAGAAAATTTATGACGCTTCTGGAAAATTCGGTCCATTGTGATATTTGCAATATTGAAGGATTATTTCATATTCACAAAATATCCCCTAACAAGGGTAATATCTCATTCAGCAGTTTTGCTGGGAAGTTTAAAATGTAATACTAATTATGATGCACGAAATACATTCACTTTCAACATATAATCACATGCTGTAAACATCTTTTTCTGGCAATGGTATAAAAATTGTATTTATATGAAGATATAGATAGATTAATCCCATTCTTGTTGTGTTGTGCTGCAAAACATAGGTGTCTACCTTCATCGAATTGCTTCTTGATAATTCTGAAATAATACATAAAACACTAATGTAATGCATACAATCTTTGTAAATAAGCTAGTATATTTTAATTAGTTTGCTTAGTTCTATGCCCCAAATTTGTTCGCTTAGATGGTCAGAATTTCGTTTTAATAAATTTACGTCCTTATGACCGATATTACCATGCGTTATTTGAATATTGATATCAATACAAAAAAGCTTTCGTATTCGAAATAACGGTGCCAACTGCAAGGATTATAAAAAGGCTGATTTTAGAAATAACTATAATTTGTAATTTTAAATAATCTACCAAATACCTCACGCGAATCTGTTAAGCTCTCAGTCTACCTGTAGCAGTTCATGACAGTCTCCTGAACTTCTATATCTCCCACAACAGTCACAATATATTTCACAGCTACAGATACTGCTGCTTAATATTTTGTACGCATTTTTAGCTATGTAAATATCTCCGAAAGCATCTTGCGTTGCGAATCTGGACGTTAGCAAACGCTAAATGTGATATTTTTTACGTTTGGATAAAGGTAGAGAATCCCGGCAAGCATCACGTGACTCGAATGCCGGTAATGTTCGCACTTAAGATGGCGGTAGGCGCGTCCCGATGGGTACGGAACGCTCCCGAATGCGAACGCGCTTCATACACGGCCGCGTATTTCTGGTTGCCTAAGAGTTGATGTTGCGAGGGTGTCTCATCGGTACCACTAGTTTACGAGAGCCATACAACATTCTATACAAACCTCAATTTGGAGCGAGATTATTGGTCTCGGACTTATAAAAGCGCTCTCCCAATAATGGCCCACTTCTCAAATTAGGTATGTTTTGAACCCCCCTGAGATATTTCAAAAGTCTTATTTCGGACTGCCATTGTCTATATAATTTTATAGATCACAACCTTTCGGTTGATAAGTTATCTCCAATCGTCTGCAGGTAAACTAGCGTACATGTTCCTCCCACGGCTATTTATACTGTTATCCGTGACGTGTCTTATGTGATGGCGTGTCCTGGGTGATGTGGCTGGTCGGTGGCCATGACGTATTCTTCGGGAGGTCTGCCCTAGTTGTTCTAATCGTAGCGTGTAGATGTTGTATATGGGGTTAGTTTCTACGCATTATTAAGAACGTTGCTGAGGTTGGATGTGAATTTTCGGCGATACCAGTGTGCTTCTTAAGTCTTTAAAGACTACTTCGTGGCGTTCTCTCCATGCGTGTTCTGCTATTGCTGATTCTTCTGTTGCAGCCCGTTGGGTATGAAGTCAGTAGTCTTTGGTTTTTGTGAGCATGCTCCGTAGTGTTCTTTACCTTGAAAATCTGGTTTCAATTTGGTACTGCTTCTGATTCCTCTTATTATACTAGAAGTGTCTTCCACGTAAGGTATTATGAGGGTGTGCTACTTTTCATACCGCTTCTTCTGATTGTAGTATACTCTTGCAAATCTTCTACTAT